GTAGCTAGTAGTAGCTAGTAGTAGTAGTAGTAGTAGTAGTAGTAGCAGCAATTGCAGTACTGGTAGTAGTTCGTACTTGTGCCACTTGAGCTCGCCGTTTTACCCACCTGTGCTACTTGCTCCTTCCTGCCGCGCTTCTGCCTCCCTATGCACACCTCCCGTCCGTCTCCTAGCGCCACCCCTTCGGTGGTTCCTTCCCGTTCCCAGCGCCTCTCGCACTAAATCCTAAATCTGAACCCTTTTGCAGCAGGCTTCTCTCGCCCGGAATCTGAACCCTGAACCCTGAACTCTATGTGACCCCTTACCTGAACCGTCCCACGAAACCTTACCCCTGCTTAAACCATGAACCCCTAAACCCTAAACCGTGCTAGCAGCAAGCGGCACAAGTGGTCCCCACGAAGTCGTAGCCTTATCCACTTTTTCAAGCAGTCAAGGGCCGTATGCCACTTAAAAACGAGCGTAGCATTGTCCACTGGTCAACAAGTGGCTCAAGTGGCGCGTTTCAATTTTCGGCCCCGATTCCTGGGGCAATGCTACTTTCGTGATGTCGTAGTCCAATACCAACCACGGCTGTTGAGGGGTGGGGAGTGGATAATGACGTACTTTTAAAGAGCAAATCCATCTTACTGGGTGTTTCCAATACTTCCGTGATGTTTGATGATGATGATGGTGGTGGTGACGATGATGATGATGATGATGATGACGACGACGGGTTTCAGGCGCCAGGTGGTGATAGGTAGCAACAGTGGCAATCAGTAGGAGTAGCAGTAGCGGTAGCGGTAGCAGTAGAGTAGGAGTAGCAGTAGCAGTAGCAGTAGCAGTAGCAGTAGCAGTAGTAGTAGTAGTAGAAGTAGCAGCAGCAGTAGTAGTAGTAGTAGGTAGCAGGAGTAGTAGTCGTCGTCGTAGTGGTACACAGTGAAAGAAAAGCCCGGAAGAAAGGTTCAACACAAGGCTCCCGCCCGCCCCCAGGTGAGGCACCCGGTGGCCCTGCGAACAAAGTTGGCCCGGTTCTTCTCCACCTTAGGGCGCCATCAATAATAACATGTAACAGAAAGGCATTCGACGCTTGCGTTTTTACTATTTTTCCGGGACCTCATCGCGTGCAAGCTAGAGGCAGGCGCCTCGTTTCCCTCCTCGGCCGGAAAGCCTGTGAGAATCAGTGAGAAGTCCTTCATCGTGGCCTGGCATCAGCATGTCAAGGTTGCCCCTCCGCCGCAAGCTAACTAGTGATTGCCTCGCGCGTGTCGAGCTCCACCCGACGACGTCGCTGACAAACTGCCTGGGCTTCGATTTCAATTGACACCGGTTCCTACATGTCGCAATCCTTCTTCTACACCGTCTCGCTTCTCCAGAGGTTCGCGCATAGGACAGCGCAGACACTGCAGTGAAGAAGTACCTGGCTTTGTCCGGGTCGCGGCTGCAACGCCATCTGCAAGCTGGAACTTCTGGGCACAGGAAGATGGTGAAGGCCAGTGTGCCTTCTGCAACCAACAGCCTGACAGCAGGCCCACTTTGCACGAGACAGACCGACCGGCGCTGGGTTCTGACCACTGGGGCCCCTGACTCCTGGGATCTCGCGAGAGTACGGACGGCAGAGTGTGCTGCCCCGCAGATTGAGTAGACATCTGCTTTCCCAGGCTCACTGCCTGAACGGTATCACACGTGTCGATTCGAAAAGTCACTTCGGTCCAGTAGGGCCCAAGAGCCTTCCACAAACATACGGCTGCCATACACCTGCCATGGCTTGAGGTACACACGCTTTCGAATAACTTGCGCATGATGGCTGGCTTCGCATCAATACAGCGAGGGCAGCCGTAGCACACACCACCCATGCACATATAGCGCAGGCCTTCGCAAAGTTCATTCTGTGTATAATTGCCATTCTCTCGCGAAAAGCCCGGACACACCACAGGAGGATGAAGGCTTGGAAGTTGAAGAACATCAACAACGCCTCAGGCTGTTTTCTCGTTCCATCTGTTTAAGAACCACAACGACCACCACAACAACAACAACAACAACAACAACAACAACAACAGCTGCTGCTGCTGCTGCTGCTGCTGCTGCTGCTGCTGCTGCTGCTGCTGCTGCTCGCACTAGCTACTATAGCTACAAGATAGCTACTAAGTAGCTGATAGCTACTTGGCGAGACCCGACCCACGCACAACAATGGATCACATTCTAACCGAAATCAAAATTCACCTTCACCCGCCAAGCAGTAGAAGTAGTAGTAGTAGCAGCAGCAGTAGTAGTAGCAGCAGCAGCAGCAGCCGTAGTCGTAGTCGAAAGAGTAGTGGAATAGTTGAAGTAGTAGTTGAAGTAGTAGTTGAAGTAATAGTAGTAGTAGTAGTAGTAGTAGTAGTAGTCGTCGTCGTCGTCGTAGTAGTAGTGGTAGTAGTAGTAGCAGAAGTAGTAGTAGTAGTAGTAGTAGTAGCAGCAGCTGTAGTCGTAGTCGTCGCAGTAGCCGTAGTACAGGTACTCGTAGTAGTCGTTGTCGCCGTCGTAGCAGCAGAAGAAGAAGTAGACGTTGCAGCGGCAGTAGCACCCATTGCAGCTATGCCTGGCAGCTTAGATTCGAACTTATTTCGATATTTGGTGGAGGGGGCCATACCAGAGAGGCTTACGTTCGACTAGAATCATCGATCGGGTTGGCAAGCTTCAACTTGAATTTTAGCCACTGCTGGGAGATTCGACTGTCATTTCGCCCCGTCCTGCTTCCTAGTCTTCTGGTGCTGGTGTTTTGTTCTGGTTGCGGCAGTAGCGGTGTGTCTCTTTGGCTTTGGGCGTTTTTCACCATCACACCCTCCTCTTCCTCCTCATCCTCCTTCTGCTGCTGCAGCTGCAACTGCTACGGCTACTGCCACCACCATCACCACGACCACCACCACCACCCGCTTCTGTGATGATTATTATCCTCCACCTAAATGTGCCTGAATACCACTACCACCGCCACCACCCCAAGCACCACTTTTTTGATGCTCATTTTCCTCAGCAAAGCTACCAGTGTTCTACGCTATGACGGCTACAACCTGCTACAACGACTTCCCCGCTTCTCCTGGGAGCCTGGCTCGGCCACCGACAACATGCCCATCTTCGCGAGGGCGGCAAAGGTTGGTCATCAAGGGGTACCTCGTTTATCTTAGCAACATCAACTGCCATTTTTTTGGCTCCCACTTGGCACCGTCAGCGAGACTGCCATAGAGCATCATATGGTCTATTCATATAGTCATATAGTGTGATATTCCGAAGGGTGTGATCAGTGTGTGAGGTGCTGTCAGGTGGGGGGGGGGCACCGGGCAGTTACGCAGCTCCTTGGCGCGCACTTGTTGGACTAAATTAGATTGGCCCCCCGCCGGACACTGAATTCATTGTCAGATCCTGTAGCAGCAGCAGCAGCAGCAGCAGTAGCAGTCGCGGTCGCAGTAGGAGTAGGAGTAGGAGTAGGAGTAGGAGTAGGAGTAGGAGTAGGAGTAGGAGTAGGAGTAGGAGTAGGAGTAGCAGTAAGAGTAGCAGTAGTAGTAGTAGTAGTAGTAGTAGTAGTAGTAGTAGCAGTAGTAGTAGTAGTAGTAGTAGGAGGAGGAGGAGGAGCAGCAGGAGTAGTGAGTAGTGGTAGTTGTCATTGTTTTGTTGTTGCTGTTGTCATTGCAGTTTCTGCATGCGTTCTTAGTGCAGTTGTCAGTGGTCGTTCACAGTTTCAACACAGTGCCTCGTCAGGCAATACGCCAGCCAAGCGCAGAGCACGCTCGCACAGCATTCAATTGAAAATTGTCGCTGCAGTTGCGGCTGTTGTTGTTGTCGTGGTCGTGGTCGTGGTCGCGGTCGTCGTCCTCGTCGTGGGGGGCAGTGGCGGTGGTAGTGGCGGTGGTGGTGGTGGTGGCGGTGGGGGCGGTGGCGGCGCTGGTCTTGCTCTTGCCATGAGTGCGATTGGGAGTGTGAGCGTGAGTAGTGCTACCCAGTAGCCCCGGTGTTCGCCTTAGTGATGGCACTAGTGCTGCTTGCACTTCGTAGTAGGTCCCATTCGAGCCTTTGCTACGATGCGCAACACTTCAATTTTTAGGGAGCACAGCCCAGCGATTTACTGCGAGCAGCGGGCCAGTCGTGGCGCTCGCTGGTGTGGTCCTTAGCTCAAAACCCTCCAGCTGCCCTCAGACGGTGACCGTCTAGCTGCCATTCAACAAAGCATCCGGAACCTTACTTGGAGGATCATGGGACTTAGTAAGTAAGGTTATAAGTCCCTTAATTGGGGTTATAAGTATAGTTACCTTACTTATAACCCTAGTTACTAAGTCCCATGATCCTCCAAGTGCTCTGCTTGGGACCCGGGCTCTCAGATTGAGATGGTGTCTCCGCATGATGGCTCGCTTCAGGACCCGCGAATTGATCACAGGCCTGAGCCCAGTTTCCAGTTATACAACCCAGAGACTCCAATACCCCTTAATTAAGGAATATACCTTAAATTATAGTAAGATCCCTAATAAGATTTAAGGTACCTTAAATTATAGTAAGATCCCTAATAAGATTTAATGTATATTCCTTAATTAAGGGG